ACAAGGTTTTGAGAAGAAGGAAAAAGGTGCTTTATTGCTTTGCTATCAAAAGAGAATATATATTGGAATCCTGACCCAGAGACAGTGATTCTAAATGCTCAGGGGAACAGTGGTCTTTAAAAGAAAAAATGCAGGGAGATTTAAGATGGTGGACTAGAGAAAGGTTGCATTCCTCATTGCTCCATGGCTGAGGATCCAAGCAGCAGGAGTACTGCTTCTTAGCAGGGAGAAGTGGAGGTGTATTTCACTAAAACTTAACATTTGACAGTGAGACTGTCAGTAAGGCTTAGAAATTTGGGTACATTAAACAAAGAAGAATGAATACATTGGAGCCAAGCTGGTTGCTGCAACAGTGGCAGCAGTGGTAATGGCGCTGGTTCAGCACAGAGGAGGGAGAACACAGACAGAAACACAATGGAAACGTTAGTATGGAAGAACCTGAGATCAGGAAAGCAGCCTGAACTCAGTGGATACAGAGCCTGCATTGTGCACTAGTGCTTGAAAAGTGCTCTGTTTCTCAACTGGCTGCAGAGAGCAGACACAGAGCCATCTTCAGGTGACCACACTGCAGCTGCTGCTGCAGGAGATCACAGCAAACACTGCCACACTATTCAAAGAACCAACTCTTTGTTTCATTGATTCTTTGTATTGTTTTGTGTTCTCAAGTTCATTGATTTCAGTTCTGATCTTAATTATTTCCTTTCTTCTACTGGTTTTATAATTGATGTATTCTTTTTAAAGGGTTTTGAGATGCATCATTAGGTTATTTATTTGGGATGTTTCTGATTTTATTATGCAGGCACTCATAYGTATAAACTTTCCTCCTAAAATTGCCTTCATAGTGTCCCAGAGGTTCTGGTATATTGTATCACTATTGTCATTTGAGTCTAAGGATTTTGAAATTCTCCCTTGATTTCTACTATTACCTATTCATCATTCAGGAGAGTATTGTCCAAAATCCATGTGTTTACAGGATTTTTGTCATGTTGATTTCCAATTTAATTCCATTATGATCTGATAAGTGTAAGGAATTATATCATTTTWATTTTTTTGTATTTGCTAAGAGTTGCTTTGTGGCCTAAAATACAGTCTATTTTGAAGAAAGTTTCATAAGCCACTGAGAGAAAGTGTGTTAAGCTGTTGTTGGATGAGATATTCTACAGATGGTCTGTTATATTCATTTGATTTATTTTTCAAGTTCATAGAGTCTTTACTGAGTTTATGTCTGGATGACCTATCTAATGGTGAGAGAGGTGTGTTGAAATCACCYAGTATTATTGTTCTAGGGTCTATCTGAGACTTCAATTTGAATAGTATTCCATTTATGCAATTTGGAGTGATTTTTATGGGTTTGCCTCTACATAYGGCCTGAAATTTTTCTCCTAAGGCCTTTAACACTCTCTTCTTCTGTATGTTAGGAATTTTAATTATCATTTGTCATGGAGAGGTCCTTTTTTATCTTGTCTATTAGGTATTCTGAATGCCTCCTATAGGTGGATATTCATCTGTTCTTCAGGTTTGGAAAATTTTTCTTTATTATTTCCTCAAAGAGGTTATCCATTCCRTTAGCTTGCATCTCACAACCCTCCTCAATTGCCATAATTATTAAATTTGGTCTCTTAACGTTGTCTTCCTGTTCTTAAAATGCTGATCATAGTTACTTATTTTATTTTCTATAATGCTGTCTGAATATTCAAGGCTTCCACTTTGTCTCCCAGCTCTGTGATTATGTCTTTAGCATGGTCTACACTATTAGAGAGTCTACTACACATTTTATTTGATTATTGTGTCTTTCATTTCTAATATTTCTGTTTGGTTCTTTTTCAATATTTCTGTCTCCTTATTGAATTTCTCATTCATATACTATACTGCTCACCCTGCACAAGAATCAACTCAAAATAGATCAAAGGTCTAGGAATTAGACTATGGTACTCCTAAAGAAAACTGTGCTATCCTGGAGTCAACACTCCAGCTTTTAGTGACATACAATGACTTTCTCAATAGCGCACCTAAARCTCAGAAAAGAAGGTAAAGAGTTCTTTAATGGGATGCTATCAAATTAAAAAGCTTCTGTACAGCAAAGAAAACAATTAGGAACGTGAAGAGGGAACCCACAGAATAGTAGAAAATTTTTGTTAGCTACTCTTCAGACAGAGGATTAATATACAAATAATTCAAACCCTTACACCAAATAAACAAATAACCAAGTTAATAAATGGGCAAGTGAATTAAACAGACACTACTTAAAAGAAGAAATATGAATGGCTAACAAATATATAAAAATATGTTTAACATCATTAGGAATTAGGGAAATGCCAATCAAAACTATACTGAGATTTCATCTCACACCAACAGAGTGGTAATCACTATGAATACAAATAATAATGAATGATAAGATGCAGAGAAAAAAGAACACTTTTATACTGTTGGTGGTATGGTAAATTAGTATATCCACTATGGAAATCATTATAAAATCTCCTCAAAAGACTAGGCATGGAACCACCATATGACCCAACAATACAAGTCTTCAAAATTTATCTTGAAGAATAAAAGTCATCATACTATTGTGATACTTTCATATCCATGTTTATAACAGTGTAATTACAATAGTCAAACTGGAACCAGCCTAAGTGTAATGTGGTATATATATACATACAATGGAGTTTTATTTCACCATAGGGAAAAATGAAATTATGTCCTTTGCAAGACCTGGATGAAACTAAAAACCATTATAGTAAGCAAAATTAGTTAAACTCATATGAGGAAGCTAGAGAGGAAAAGGGAAAAGAAAGGAGATAGATCTCATGAAATCAAAGGGAGGTCAGTCAAAGAAAGGGAAGGCAGGGGAGGCAGTGAGGGAGTGAGGAGGTATTGGGGAATAATTGTGGCCAAATTATATTATATTTTAATATTGTTTGCATATACGGATATGTAACAACAAATCCCACCATTKTGTACAACTATAATGCACCAATAAAAAATGTGGATAGAAATGCAAAGGCTGAACTCCAGATGTGTCCTAGTAGGAGTACACTTTATTCTTTGCCTTGAGAGAGCCATTTCTTACATCTACTGGTGCTAACCCAGAAGTCTGGATTCTTACATTCCTGTGCTCAGTGAGCAAAAGGACAGATAATGTGGCCGAGGACAGAAATCAGGTTAATCTTGATTCTTCTAAGTTAGGGAGAGTGAGAGGGACAAGAAGAAGGAAAAAATTTTCAGTTTTAAAATCAGCCACTAGTGGCAGAGCAGCGAGATATGTATTCAAAGCATGAAGTGGACTATTRTTACCTGGCCACTTCTCATGTTTTTGTCTACTTTTGTTTTGTTCCCAAGGAAGATTTGTTTGGATCAGCTATTCCACGATTTGCACAGAGAAAGTACTTCATGGATGAATTTGGCTCTTAAAAATAGAACTTAGTTCCATGAACTTAATTCAGCATAATGTCTTACTCTAATTAAATCTCTCAGGGGCCCTTTTTAAGTTGTTTAATGAAGCATTTAAAAATTCATTGATACACTTAATATTCAGGTTTTGCTTTAAAGTTCGGAGCTGCTTAAGTATTGGTTTGACTTTGTCATTTGCATACTTAATTTTAAATCTTTCTAGAATTTAAATGTTTTCTCATAAGGAAATGATTAGGTAAACGTAAATAATTTTGGAGTATACCTACAGTGTTATTAAGATTTCCATCTCTGTGACAAAATACCTGAGAAATTCAACCTAGAGGAGGAAAGATTATTTTGGCTCATGGTTTCAGAGGTTTCATTCCATGGTCAGCTAGCTCCATTACTTTTAGGATTGCAGTGGGACAGAAAAATCATATCAAAAGGACATTGAGAAAGTAAACTGATCACTTCATGTAAGTCAGAATGAAAGAGTAGAGAAGGAGCCAGGAACAAGATACACCTCTCTATAATACACCTCTAGTGACCTTCCTCCTTCAGCCAGGTCCCACTTCCACTAGCACCATAGGCCGTCACACTTTCAAGTATGCCGCAGTCTGGCTGGGCACAATTCAGGAGCCACTTGGCAAAAGAAACGAACTTTATTTTTAGAACACACACACCAAACCACACAGCTCCTCAGGAAAAACCTTCAGAGCCCAACTGCCACCACCGGCTTCCCACAAGCCTCTC